AGTACCTTCCTTTTTGAGTTATTTTTTGGAGACCCTGAATATAGGTCCAGGGGCCCGTTTCTCGAAAGTCGCGATAATTAACGGGCCCGTAAAGCTGTTGTTGTTTACATACAAGATAGAGGTTTCAACAGTTTTGCATCTAACAAGACAAAACTATCAATTCATGAAACAAAATGGAATAGTTTTCTAGCCAGGACCCGCGCTCTTATTCTTTATATTTCGATTTGAATAATTGATTTCGGGCCCGAAAAGTTACCGGGTCTTTCGAGAAACGGGCCCCAGGGGCCCGTTTCTCGAAAGTCCCGATAATTAACGGGCCCGGTAAGCTGTCTCCGTTTACATTAAAGATCGAGGTTTCAACAGTTTTGCATCTAACATGATAAAACTGTCAGTTAATGAGACAAAATGGAGTAGTTTGCCTGCCAGGACCCGCGCTCTTATTCTTTATATTTCGATTTGAATATTTGATTTCGGGTCCGTAAAGTTACCGGGACTTTCGAGAAACAGGCCCCAGCCCCGGTGCTCAAACCAACGATCTCCCGCAATGCAGTCGGTCCACCGACTGAGCTAGTCCTGCAGAAGTCTGGGGACATTTAGTTGTTGGCAAAGACGGTGACTGGTCAATTTGCTAAAAGGTTTCAGTTTTAAGCTTATGGAGAGGCATTTCATACGGAAAAATCTGTACTTTTTATTCTGCAAATGATTTCCCTCAAAAATCAAGAAGTCGAAAGTGAAGGCAAGAGTATTCATGGCCTGCAAACAAATCTGAAGAAAATGTGAGATACAATGTCAGTGAATATCGTTCAAAGGTCAGAACAAGAGCAAGAAAGGATGTTCTCTGTTTTATATACGGACTTAAATACTGGGGCCACTATGTAAAAATATATTCTTGGGTGTTTTAAATACCCGGTTATGGGTCATTTCCCTTGTTATTGCATGGTAATGTACTGGNGCTCTGTAATTTTCACTTTAGTGAACTGACTATATTTTTGATATCTAAGGTTTAAACCCCGTAGTGCATACAGAATATACACAGGGTTGCATAGACAGGAATAAAAACTAGCGTTCGAGGAAGAAAGTCTCCCCCTATCCCCGCTCTGAGGGCTTGATCACAGGCTGGGAAAAGCCGGGGAATCACTTTCAAAAAACGCACGTTGAGTGTCAATGTACTTAGCGCCAAGGTGCTTATTAAGGGCACTATTTTGACGTCTTGTAAGGGAGGCAAGACCGCAGAACAAAGGTAGTACCTTCCTTTCTGAGTTATTTTTTGGAGACCCTGAATATAGGTCCAGGGGCCCGTTTCTCGAAAGTCCCGATAATTAACGGGCCCGGTAAGCTGTCTCCGTTTACATTAAAGATCGAGGTTTCAATAGTTTTGCATCTAACATGATAAAACTGTCAGTTAATGAGACAAAATGGAGTAGTTTGCCTGCCAGGACCCGCGCTCTTATTCTTTATATTTCGATTTCAATATTTGATTTCGGGCCCGTAAAGTTACCGGGACTTTCGAGAAACAGGCCCCAGCCCCGGTGCTCAAACCAACGATCTCCCGCAATGCAGTCGGTCCACCGACTGAGCTAGTCCTGCAGAAGTCTGGGGACATTTAGCTGTTGGCAAAGACGGTGACTGGTCAATTTGCTAAAGGGTTTCAGTTTTAAGCTTATGGAGAGGCATTTCATAGGGAAAAATCTGTACTTTTTATTCTCCAAATGATTTCCCTCAAAAATCAAGAGGTCGAAAGTGAAGGCAAGAGTATTCATGGCCTGCAAACAAATCTGAAGAAAATGTGAGATACAATGTCAGTGAACATCGTTCAAAGGTCAGAAAAAAAGCAAGAAAGGATGTTCTCTGTTTTATATACGGACTTAAATACTGGGGCCACTATGTAAAAATATATTCTTGGGTGTTTTAAATACCCGGTTATGGGTCATTTCCCTTGTTATTGCATGGTAATGTACTGGCCATTTCTCCCTTTTATAGGCCTTGAAAAAGGACCGTGGATATCTAGTTGTTCCTCCTTTACTTTTCCCGACTCAGACAATTACCATAAATCCTCTATTAAGCCTCCTTTTCAAATAAGCCCCCCTCTCTAATAAGCCCTCCCTTTTCAGGGGAAGAAAGTTAACCCTCCCCCACCTCTTTCTCTTTTACGCCTCCCTCCCCCTTATTACTGTTCACTAATAAATGAGCTTAAATGATACACTGTATTAATCAATTACGACTGTAAACCATCGTGTGGACTGATCCAGAATAGTTTATTCACCAGCTGGAAGTACAGATTTGTTTTTGATCCTCGTCTGCATGGCCTCTAATCGTTGTACTTGAGCTTTCTAACTTGGCATTCTTGTTTTTTATGGAGAACTGATACCATCGTCTTTACTTTAAATAAGCTCCCCTCTCAAATACGCTCCAGTCTCTATTAACCCCCCACCCCCTACCCCTCGAATGGGTTTGAAATAAATAAGCCCCCTGGGGAGCTTAATACAGGATTTTTATGGTAGAATACATCTGTAGGTAAGGTCACCTTGCCAAAAAATAGTCCATGATGTTTTAAAAGCGGGCTAGCTTTCCTGCTATGATGTCGTAATGCACCGGCTATACTATTTCCACCATAATTTTTTATAGCCCCTTGAAAATATCCGGGAGGTCGGGCTTTAGACATCTAGGGGACACAGCTTCCATTGTCAAATTATCCTAGAAGCGTCTGCTCAGGTATTGAAATATTACTGCAAGTTGAACTTGTACACGCATTCTGTAAAATTACTGGATGACATTCATCACATGCAAGTGTCTTGTTACTCTGGCGCGTTCCCCTCCCCCTCTTGGAAATTGTATAAATACTGCATGTCCGTAAAACTACGTGGCTTAATCTGATGATCAGTAGATCACGTTATCTATGCAGCAGCTAAAGTCCATCTAAACCGGGCTAAACTGTAGTAAGTAGACTACAGTTTCTCCAAACTACATCATAACCAGGCATTTTAAAGTTGAAAGATGTTGTCGGTGCCAAGTTCCTCGCTTTAGTTTTCGAATCCCTCGTTATACATTATATTTTCCTCCCAAATTTTGTTAAAATGTTTCTTATTGTTCTTGGGAATATGTAAGCCAGGAGCACTTGAAAACAATACTTTATGGAAATTTCGGGGGCAAACAGGGCGTACTATTTAACATACATGTAAATGCGATGTGCTTTCGCATGTTTACTATACCCAAGTTGCCGTTGAGAGTGTCAAACGGTTTTTATAACTTTATGACAGGATTACAAGGATGATTATATTGGTGGGGCAATAGCTAGAGCCAAAGAAACGACAAGCTCTGGGGATGAGAATGACTATGCAGACGTATTTCCGGTTCTGCGCGGAAGTAACAAATCCGTTTGTGTCTGTGTAATATAAAAAATTGGCGCGTTTAGACCCGCGGCACGTGACGTTTTATAGTTTTATACCCCTACTTTTTGACGATCGGGTCAAGTTGATATGAAAACCCACTGCATAAAACTCTGGTTGCCTGTTATGGTTTTCTCTTTGGCCAAAAGGATTATGTATTCATGATCAACTCGTTCTCACTTGCAGTTCGCAAGGCCCGCAGGCGTTTATGCATGTGGCGCGCTGATAGTATTTTGTTTGGTTTATTTTTTTTATCATCAGCGAGGAAGGTACAGGCTCAGCGTTACGACGAAAACCGGCAAAGGAGAAAGTTTTAGAGACGAAAGTCCCTGGAACAGTCCTATCTGATTAAATGACAGTTGATTTCTTCGTTTCGCTCTATGGTTGTAAGTTATAATTTAGGGGCTGATATTGCCTAAGTACTTAGCATATTTTACTGCAGCTTTAATAACAAAAGGTTATTTCTTCATGTGGGAGTAATAGTTACTATGTGAGATATAAAATATACTTGCCGAAAAAATAGTAGTTCCGTTTAAAGTTTAAGAATACCGTAGTTTCTTCATTTCCCGACAGCCTTCTTCGTGTTCTTAGAAGCCTGGATCTCTCCACATGCCAGAGACAGCGATACCAGAACTGTCAGAAATTTTGTTCGTTGTTTTATTTTGTGTGAATTTATAAGAAAAAGGAAGCCTGTTTATAGACCGGCTGTTTTCACTTCATGCAAACCGGAAGTAAGTTGTGTCATGCATGAGGCACCCCCGTATGGTTCCGCTGTCTTCACCGTTGATGGCTCTTTCCCCAATATAAAGCCTACTCAACGAAGCATGAAAAGAAAACAAAAACCAGGACCACCGTATCTGTCCATGTGGCCGAAAAAGTCGAGCTATTCCCATAGCGTGACAATTTCTACGTTTGGTTCTTGAACAAGGCATGTCAACCGGAAGTTCGGCCTTTTCACTTTTTAAATATGCCACGATGCTACCAAATTTGTCGTGCTTCGTGTCCTTAGACAATTTCCCCAAAACGTTGAGCAAAAGCATTTGCTAAGAATGCAAGAAGTCCACTTTTACTGAAATGCCGTCTAGTTAAATATTGTCAGGAGCCGATATTGTACACATTTTATAAATCAATTTGTAGAATTTCCGGATCGATAGGTATAGTTTCTCGATCATCGAGAAACTTAGCCACAGCATACAGCTTATCCGGAAAAAGCTATATTATTGTTTGTCACAGTAAAAGAAAACGTTTATTGACTTAATGTTTTCAATTTGTTGAATATTTCTGACATAGGAGCGAATTTTTCGGCAAAATAATCAGCAGACGGATGAGATAAGGAAGAGGAAAGGTGTCAAAGTCCATTTACGACCACGTGGGAATGCATGGTTGGTGATCTTTGCCCGAAAATTCACGTGAACAGTGTGACTCTTTCCCGTGAAATTCCCGTAGCCACCAATCAGAAACTTAGAAAAACGCGGGAAAACTTACTAGATTTATCAATTTTGCATTATCGTCACCATAACAAAACCTAGTAAATACACAAACCTTCGCCACTTTGCGTTTGATCGCAATTCAACTGGTACTAGTACAGTGTGAAATCTAAATTAAGCGATCTCAATGGCATTAGTCTTTGATGAAGCTGTAGAGGAAGATGTCTACGAGACACCGAGTGATTTCTCTGATTTTTTAGAGTTCACTAATCGCTTGAACATACCACTAAACGAGGAGTATTTTCGTGAATTGAAGGCCACCTGGTTGAAAAGCAAAGGTTCTCTGGGACAGAGTTTGTCGATCTTCGAGCAAAGCATCAGGGACAGTAAATTCCTGTCCAGTGAGTTCGAAAATGAAAGAAGATTACAAAACGCTCTCTGGAGAGTTTGGTGGCGCCAGACTCGGGCCCGCTTTCACGCTACGGTCAAAGAAATCCCCGAGGGAGAAAACATCGTCGAGGAAGCGATCCCAGAAGTACGAACCATCCGTATTAGTGGGGCAGACATTGGTGACTTTCCAACGGAATACATCATTCCCGCGTTGAAACCTCATGAAATCCCCGTTGTTGGAACGTATGTTGACACAAAAGTTGTTTCTGGTTTTGCTTATCGGGTGCGTCGAAACGGAACCAATCAATATCTGTTTGGTGGCGTGGCTTTGGTGTTACAGAGCATTGGCAGAGGATATGGGAAAAGACTTACCTTTGAAAGCCAGGACGTTGAAAATGACAATTTCTTCTGGTCTGATAGTAACGATGATGAAGGCTTTGCATTTTCAATTCAAGTCGTCTTCAAAGGCGATAAATTCAATGTTGTAGATCGCCAAGGGCGTGTAGTGGCGGAAACCCAGTTAACGGCAGTGGGCGACGAACAAGACATTGAAGACATTTCTCTTCAAAAAGAATCAGTGATTGTCGTTGTTTCTGTGGAAATGGAGTGCTGTATAAAATTTTCTGCTCTCGACCACGTGCCAGAAAAATTACGTGGTCAGATCGTCGATGTCGCTGTTTCTGGTCTGGCACTTACTGAAAAGAAGGCAAAAAGTTGGAAAGGAGAGATTATTGAAATTCGAAATGTACATATTCTTGATGTAGGAGCTTGTACATTTCAAGCAATCTGCTGATCTTTGTCGCCGATGAAGGATTTTATTACGTAACTGTCTGTTTATTCGTCAGAAAGTGCATAATTCGTTAAACTCTTTTCTTCTTCTTTGTTGTACATTTTTTGTTTTGAATACTTCAAAACTATTAGTTTTAAACTCTTGTTGTTTTTTGGTTTTGAAGTTTTTAAAACAAATGCTTGGTTACTGTTTCGGTCTCTAACTTTAACCTCATGCTATGGGTGTTGGTTCCTGTTTCATTTTAAGAATGTTAAAAATTCAGACACAATTTGCATATTTTTCAATGTGTACTTTGTACTCTCACGAAATGCCATAAGAATTGATAATGTATAAATTATTCTTATGTTCGGATGTTTATGAACTCGCTATTTAAGAGTAATATTATTACTCTGAAAAAATTATGAAATGATACAAATTTATGTTTGACAATTATTGTCAAAAAATGTACGTTATTAGATTGTAATATATTAGAAATTGTTTATACCTCCCAGACAGAGTATATTTTAAAGATTCTTATTCTGATGAAATATGTTATTTATGTGGCAAACATTATTTCACTTGGAGAAAATTTAAAATTGTAAATTATTGTTAAAAATGAATAAATAGTTGTTAAGATGTATCATATAGGTGTTGTAATAATTTTTATAGTTGAGTCATTTTTTTCGAGAAAGTAATACGTATTTATAGTGAGTGGCAATAGTAAACTTGAATCCCTCATCAGTGACTGTTAAATGTGTCAGCAAGGTTCTTTGTAACCACGCAACTGGCAAAAATTGCTGTCTAGTGATTATGGATGTGCCAGTGGTTCACAGAAAATTTCAGAAGTGGGGCTGTAGATTGGTCTTGTTTCTCAGCACTTTTGTTTAATGACAACAAACATGAAATGAAGGAAATATGGGTAAATTAAAGGTGCCATTCTCACGGCTTTAAAAATATTACATTTCCCTCCCTGGTTGCACAAATACACTGAAATGCACTTTCCAGGGTTCCCCACCCCTTCCCCCAAATTGCTGAATGGAAGGAAAGTGATTCCCTTTCCTACAACCTGGCGGTTTTGCAGCGTTTAAGTCTTTAGATCTAGCCTCGGTTGTTCAAACGATGGATAGCACTATCCATTCGATAAATTACTTTATTATATCGCTGAATCTGCAAGCGGACAAGAGGAAGCGAATCGTACCTTGTGGATCATACAGAGGTATTTGCGTGAAACGTGATCCTCTGACCTTTTTTTATTTTTCGTGAATTCAATAAATTATTCTTCGTGTTCCGTGACCAAATGGTTGTCCGTGCCCGAGGAAAACTCGTGATTTTATTACTTATTTTTCCCTGATTTTCAGCTTCGAGGCCTCCGGAAGATAGATAAAGACTATGAGCGCGTGAAATGAGAATGATGAATTTTTGTAAGTTGCCATTTGCGGTATTGCTTTTTCTTTTCGCCACTTTTAAGCTGTTTTTCAGACACTCTTTTTACCACTTTTTTCTTTGCGTAAAAAGAAGATCAAAAACGGTATACGTGCTGATTTATGTGACTCAAAAGCTGAAATGAAAGTTTGATATCCGTGATTCGTGATTAGTTACTTTTTTGGTCCGTGAACCGTGCCAGAGGATCCAACCCCCGCCACCTGTGGGATCCTCTGCGTTCTGATTGGCTACCCGAGCGGGCATTGGGGCCCACCTTGCCTCCTCGGGATATCCCGCGTTTGTCCGGCAAGAAAATGTTCTCTTTGTGACCATATAATAAATCCTTTATTGACCAAGTTTGTTCGGCCAAGATGGCTGGGTATTGCCCTCGTTCTTTTTTGCGTTTTAACTTCAGAAATTTGTGCAATTTTGGACGGATGCACTTTTTGTAGAAGTGCGAAACGTTCTATGAAAAAAGTACTCAGTCAAAGATTCTTCCTGAGTAGTTTTAAAACCCTGTATAATGCTAAGTACCTCCAAAAAGCAGGAAAACTAGCAAATTTAGAACTTGAAAAGTAACCTCTTTCCCCGGGTAGAAGAGGACCCTGTGAACGAGGTTGTGTTCAGACGGACTAATTTTCGACCGGCTACTGGGTTTACCGTGCAATATTTCCACTTTGTAGTTCACTCGAACTTTTTTACGGCTAGACGTCGGAGTTTTTCGTGCGATTAAGGTGGTTCGGTGTGAAGAAAATACCCGATGCATGCATGAATCTTCAACGGATCAAAAATTCAACAGCTGTAGTGTGAATATACCCTTACAGTATTTTTTTTTCCAGAGTGTGAATCAGTACTTCATGGTAACAGTGCACAGTAGCTGTCACGGCTATTTGAATCCTACATGTATATGAATTCATCAAGCTCTGTTTCTAGCTAGACATCGCGTGATCACCTCACTTCTCGGTAATGCTCGTCTCCAAAGTAGCACGAACTAACTAGTAAGAGCCTGCTTTGGCTTGTTGATGAGTTAAACTTGTCAGCCACACCTTAGCAAACGGGCGTGCCCATAACCTTTTCGAATGCGTTATTGTGCTTTATACTACGAAAACAACTATTCGATCGCAAACACGTGGCCGTTGCAAAGGGTGTAAATTTGTGAGCTTAGGCGGAAAACTCTCGAAACTTTAGAAATACACTGATAAACAACCTGGCCGAGGCAAGACATAGAGTCCACCGTGTGACATGTACTGGAACGTTATTTGTCGGCGTTGAATTAAGCCATGGGTGGCTTAATCAGTCTTCTGCGAGACATAAAAACAATCTACAAAGACCTCAAGGTAACTTTGAAGCTCACGGCCAGAATTGTGCTCAAAGTGCACGGGATTGTAGACGATGTGGAACACACTGTTCAAGAACTAAAAGCTGCCGTGAAAGGGTTATCTGCGAAAATCAGCCCGGAGAATGGCAAGGGCGAGGTCGCATTTGATGCTTTGGTGGAAAACGTGGAAACTAAAGCTACTATGTTGAAAACATCTCTCATCGAAGCTACAAGCCAAGTTTTTAACGAAGATCTTCTCAAGAATACTCAGCAAAAATGGGAAAAGGTAATGGAGTACTCTAGACAAAGCAGTGAGGCTTTAACAAACATCATCGCTAGTACTTCATTCTACACCAGTGTCGTGCAGGGCGCAAGCGATGCAGAACGTGCAGGTGTTGAGGAAAAGAATATTTCACTGTTAGAGGTAAAGGAAAAAGAAGAAGAGGATGAAAAAAGCAATGCTCAGAGTAATCAAGCTATCGTTCCCGTTTTCAACGAGCCGCCTAGCACACTTTCCGGTGTAGAAGAAGATGTTCGAGATTTTGAGATTCTGCCCTCGTTCGATTTGATGGACAGCTTTTGGAAATGTGACATTGGGTGTTTTAACATTGATTGCGTAGATCTTCAACGGCTTCCAGCCAGACAACAAAGAAATGGCGAAGTAAACGGACAATTAAGGAAGAGGAAAACAAAGAAACGCGGTGGGAAGTCAGCAAAGCTGTGCAAAAAGACAGGGATTTCGGGTACAAGTTCAGGCCACACCCCGGTGAAGTATCACAACCACAAACAAAAACGACCAAGAGAAAATATCGCCTTAGAAGTAATATTTCTGATAGCCTTGTTAGTGGAGGGCGCAGCGATGTCCAACAACAACCTGTTAACTCGTGAACGTTTGTGGAACGAATGCAACTATGGCAGCTACAGCAGCGCCGCTGAAATATTAGAACTGGATGACTAACTAAATGTTTTCTAGGTAACAGGGACACTTTGTTAGCATTTTTGAATGTATTCTATAAACAGGTACCAGCTGGATTTGAACAGGTGCATGCACAGGGATTAGAAAGTAGAAGAGGATTGGAAAATGAATTACCATAATTTCCCGCTTGTAAGCCTTCCCACTTAGTATAGTCCATCGCAGTTTAGTCCCATCTAGGTATTTGAAAACAAAAAGAAATACAACTCCCCCCCCTCCCCTTTTCCCGTATATAAGGTCCCCTTATTATAAGCTTGTATTGAAATGAATAGACCGAAGAGCCATAATAGGACCTGTCCTATTATGGCTCTTGCTCGACCTTATCAAGGTTTTGGAAGCCATCTTGACGAGTAGGCAACCGCGTGAGAAATTACAGCGTTTGTATGAGAATCTAATGTCGAATAATTTCCGTAAAACGCCTGTTAAAAAAAAATATATGAATTGTAAACTAAAGCTACACAGCAAAGGATTTCCCTAACAAATTTTCGGGGCCGTTACTGTGCTTAAATTTCTCCAGACGCTTGCCTTAGATGGCCCGGGAGATTTTAGTCGGGAGGAAGGGAAATTTTTACAGACAAATGCATAGAAAATTTGAAAAAGTGGTTCTAGTGCATGTAGCTGCATGTGACGCCCTCAAATTTTTTCAGTACAATCATTAGGAGTGAAGCTTTGTTTATTCGACATTAGATTCTCATACAAACACTGTCTTTCTCACGCGGTTGCCTACTCGTCAACTTGAAGATGGCTTCCAAAACGGTGACAAGGTCTATTCGATTTACCTTTTGAAGCTCGATTTAAAAAAATCAGTAAAAGCAAAAAAGCTCTCGTAAAACCCCTTTACGAAGGTGTGCAAGCTCAGAGCTTAGAAGCGGCAAATAGACCTTGTCATGGTTTTCGACGCCATCTTGACGAGAAGGCAAACGCATGAGAAATTACATTGTTTGTATGAGAATCTAATGTTGAATAATTTCGTAGAACGGCGGTTCTGAAAAAATATGATTTGTAAACTAAAGCTTCACCCCTAAGGATTCTCCTGGAAAAATTTGAGGGCGTTAGATGCACTAGAAGACCTAGAACCAGTTTTTAAATTTTTCTATACATTTGTCTGTAAGAATGTCCCAGGAAAATTACAGACAAATTTATGGAGAATCTAAGGCAAGCTTCTGGAGAAATTTAAGCACAGGTACGCCCCCCAATTTTTTTAGGACAATCCTTTGCTTTGTAGCTTTAGTTTACAATTAACATTTTTTTCAGAACAGCTGTTTTACGGAAATTATTCGACATAAGATTCTAATACAAAACACTTTAATTTCTCAAACGATTGCCTACTGGTCAAGATGGCGTTGAAAACCGTGACAAGGTCTGTTACGGTACTTGATTATCATTGTCGCCTGGTTAAAACCAAGTTTTTAATATTAGGTAANAGGTCTATTCGATTTACCTTTTGAAGCTCGATTTAAAAAAATCAGTAAACGCAAAAAATCTCTCGTAAAACCCCCTTACGAAGGTGTGCAAGCTCAGAGCTTAGAAGCGGCAAATAGACCTTGTCATGGTTTTCGACGCCATCTTGACGAGAAGGCAAACGCATGAGAAATTACATTGTTTGTATGAGAATCTAATGTTGAATAATTTCGTAGAACGGCGGTTCTGAAAAAATATGATTTGTAAACTAAAGCTTCACCCCTAAGGATTCTCCTGAAAAAATTTGAGGGCGTTAGATGCACTAGAAGACCTAGAACCAGTTTTTAAATTTTTCTATACATTTGTCTGTAAGAATGTCCCAGGAAAATTACAGACAAATATATGGAGAATCTAAGGCAAGCTTCTGGAGAAATTTAAGCACAGGTACCCCCCCAATTTTTTTAGGACAATCCTTTGCTTTGTAGCTTTAGTTTACAATTGACATTTTTTTCAGAACAGCTGTTTTACGGAAATTATTCGACATAAGATTCTAATACAAAACACTTTAATTTCTCAAACGATTGCCTACTGGTCAAGATGGCGTTGAAAACCGTGACAAGGTCTGTTACGGTACTTGATTATCATTGTCGCCTGGTTAAAACCAAGTTTTTAATATTAGGTAAGTTTAGTACGATAGGAGACATTACACAGTTGAACCTCTCTACAGCGCCACCTTGGCGTCAGAAGAAAGTGGCCGTTGTGGAGGGGTTTTAAACAAGAGTCGATGTGTGGATTTTTTTGTCCGCCGCCGGGACGAAGAAAAGTGGCCGTTGTAGATCAAAGAGGTGGCCATTAGCGGGCGTTCGAGTGTATTACATTAACTATTACATTATTAGATTAGAGGACTGGGTACTATGTATAGTAAAGCTCAACGATTTAGTTTCTAATAGACCACGAGTAGTCCCCCATTTTTCCTCAGGGATAGTAGAGCGAGCAAAACGCGAGCGCGCGTGAAAATCAACCCACGCGAGAAAAGGCGACACGCGTGTCGCCTTTTCTCGCGTGGGGTGATTTTCACGCGCGCTCGCGTTTCGCTCGCTCTAATATGCCTGAGGAAAAATGGGGCACTACTCGTAGTCTAGTTTCTAAGGACGAAATATCGCCCTTACTGTAGTTAGTATCGTTAGTCGCAGCATAACGTCCAAATGCGGCTCTCTATTTATCCATCCTGCTTAGGTTTAATTATTGTTTTTTTCTGTCTGTCCTGGATTGCAGAAGGAAACATTTCATGGTTGAATAACATGAGAAGGGAACTCACAGTTAGAACTGATTTTTAAGGTATCTATTTTCAATTAAACAACTCCGGCTCATACTCAAGTTGTTCAGAACTGAATTGTCGTCGTTTCGCCCGGGCTTAAAGTCGATTCGCCAGATGACGAACAAACATTTAGTTAAGCTTGGATACCATTGCTTTGATTGCTAAAAAAGGTCCAGCGATCTGAAAGGTTAACGATCTCGATAATGACATTCGAGATACTAGATACTACTAAACTGAAGTCTAAATGTATCTCAGCGATCGCAACACAACGATCGCTTCGTTGATCTTTAATATATTTTGTCTTAAAAAATGTTGATCCGCATGTATGGTCACAGGCGCGGATCAGGATGTACACTGACCGCCGCGATCGTGGCGAGTGGAAAAAAAGGGTTATTTTCCCGCTCGTCACGATCGCGGCTTCGCCGCTCGATTTCCGCCGCAAACAACAGCAAAAAAATCCCTCTGGAACCCAGGGTATCCGGGGCTATGCTGCCCCGGGAAATTTTTGAGATTTTGACTCCCTAAAGTCCCCTTTTATTTCCTGGGATCCAAAGTCATTCAAACAGGATATTGACCAGTTCCATTCTCCTCGGATAAAGCCTTGCAACTTGGAAAGTTTTTTCCTTATTAAAAATGTATCTATCATGTAAAATCTGACCGGCTTCCGTAAAACGGTGGAAATCGGTGTGGATCTGCGCCAGGGTCACTGTTTTTTTCACGCTTATTCCTTTTTCCAGGATTTAAGAACGACAAATTTACATCGGGCGAATCGACTTTCGGGCGAAACGACCTGTTACCGTTCAGAAATAGGTTAGATTAGGGAAACCAAATACATTATCCAGTGAAGTATGAATTGTAAATATAATGTGAATTTCTTTAAGCCCAGCCCTCTAGGGGCCTTTCAGGAACACTTTACAACATTAACTGGGATGTTACTAAAAGGTAGAACGAGAAAATGAAAAAATGTGAACGAAACTTAACTTCTATTGCAGTATATTTTTTTACATAACGCGGCCAAAACATATCAGTAGAGCATAAACTAACCAAATGTTCAGAATGAAGATGTTAACAAAACAAGGTGAGAGACCATTATACTATTTGAAGGAAGATCATCGCAGTTGTACACGCAACTTATGCAGTTGCGAAAAGAAAGTCTGAAAAAAATTTAGGCTTGTACGGGATTCGAACGCTTGACCACTGCAATACCGGTGCAGAGCTCTACCAATTAAGGTAAAAAGCCAACTGGGAGCAGGTCCGGGGGAGCAGGTCGTTGAATTGGCTCGTGATAAACCGGTGAAACGATAATGATGAAATTATGTAAGGGTTATCGGCCTGAAGCGAGGGGTTATGTGATTTATTCCCCTCATGCACAGGGGAATAAATCACATAACCACGAGCTGAAGGCCGATAAACGGCTTATTTTTACATTGGCGAGGATTCCTCAGGGGATGTAAAAATACATTGAAGAAAAATGCCACTATTGTTTATTTTTCTTTTGTTTTTCACTCCATGCTGGCACTGGTGGCATTCACAAGTTTCTCCTCTTTTTAATTATGTTAGTTTTTCAAAGTCGCATTTCGAAACAGGTGTTCGTAGTGAATGCGAGAAACAGCCTACAGAGCCTAGCAGTGTCGAGCGATTCAGAGTCAGAAGTAGAACCGTTTATCACTCAAACTAAAGCAGCTTTAGTGGCGGTACTGCAATTGAAGATTCCGGGCGAGGGATCACTACTGTAACTGACAAGGAAATTCAGTCGAGGAATGAAGCAAGAATACCAAAAAACACAAAGAGGTCAACTACATGTCTTTATGGGGTACACGAGTTTGGGATACACTGGGTTAAAGAGCGGAACGCCTTAGGATAAGTGACACTTTCGTGGTAGCTCCACACCGTGGAATTTTAAAGACGCTGTTCAATTTCGAACTGTAATTCTGGCGGTGGAAATCGATGAACCACCAACTAAGAAAATCCGCGAATGTGGCGCAAAAGAAACGCAGCTCAGTTTAATTTTAGTAATTGTAACGTCGTGTTTAATATATTTCCAATAAGCATTTGTAAATTTGTTCTTCATGAAAAGCTAATTAAAATGGGAGGGGATTGTGTATTAAGCAAGGGGGAAAGTCACTTTATTGTATAGATACTGATGAAATACCATGATTTTTCCTTTTACTAAAATATCATATCTTCATCGCGCGCAGTGAGGATACTATTTTCATCTTTCACGTGTGAGGATATTGGCGTCGCCACGGTTACTAACATGACCAGC